TGGATTTCAGGTTCCCTTTTTTGTATACTCTTCTGTGCATATCCTTTGTATCCTTCGGTTTCAGTTTGCATGATGATGTTAGTGAAATAATAAGTGTAAGGGTTGTGCCTGAAGCTTGAAACTTAAAAGGTAAAAGGGACTTAAATTTATGTATCACAAAAGTTTTCTGTCACTATGCATTGTATAAGTAAATGTGACAAAGAACTATTTCTGAAAAATATGTCTTTATCATAGTGTCTTTGAAAAAATCCTATTTGGCAATGCATTGATTTCCCAGTGTAAAACTTCCTTGTAGTACATGTACATGAATTTAGGATTAAAAAACACTTTTATGCACATGATAGGATTTTTAGGTCACCTGAGTAAACTCAGGTGACCTATTGCTATCACTTTTCGTCCGTCGTCGTTCGTCGTGCGTCATGCGTTAACATTTGAACATTTTCAGCTTCTTCTCTGAAACCACTGAACCAATTTCAACCAAATTTGGCATATAGCATTTATGGGTAAAGGGGAACAAAAATTGTGAATTTCATGGTCCCTGCCCCCCTGGGGCCTGGGGGGTGGGGCAAAAACCACTAAAATTAGTGCAATCTTTAAAAATCTTCTTCTTTACTCCTTGACATCAAGCAGTCAAACTGTTTGCATGATTGTAATCAGCATTGAGTCCTCTACCAAAATTGTGAAATTCTTGGGCCAGGGGTCATGGGTTCTAGTGCTAGGGCGGGGCTAAATAAGTATATAGTGAAAATGCATTATTTCTTTGAAAATCTTCTTCTCTGCTACTGGGTATTAAATGAACCTACAAAGTACATAGTTATGATGAGCAAGAGTGCCTCTACCAAAATTGTGAATTTTATGGCCCCAGGGTTAGGGGTTCTGGTGTTAGGGTGGGGCTCTATAGATTATAATAGTGAAATTACATGAATTCTTTGAAAATCTTCTTCTCTGCTCCTGGGTATTAAATAAACTAACTAAGTGCATATTTATGATGAACAAGAGTGCCTCTACCAAAATTGTGAATTTTATGGCCCCAGGGTCAGAGGTTCTGGTGTAAGAGGGGGGGGGCTCTATAGATTATATATTGAAAATACATGAATTCTTTGAAAATCTTCTTCTCTGCTCCTGGGTATTAAATAAACTAACTAAGTGCATAGTTATAATGAGCAAGAGTGCCTCTACCAAAATTGTGAATTTTATGGCCCCAGGGTAGGGGTTCTGTTGTAAGGGGGGGGGGGGGGGCTCTATAGATTATATAGTGAAATTACATGAATTCTTTGAAAATCTTCTTCTCTGCTCCTGAGTATTAAAGAAACTTACTAAGTGCATAGTTATAATGAGCAAGAGTGCCTCTACCAAAATTGTGAATTCTATGGCCCCAGGGTCAGGGGTTCTGGTGTTGGGGGGGGGAGGGGCTCTATAGATTATATAGTGAAATTACATGAATTCTTTGAAAATCTTTTTCTCTGCTCCTGGGTATTAAATAAACTAACTAAGTACATAGTTATGATGAGCAAGAGTGCCTCTATCAAAATTGTGAATTTTATGGCCCCAGGGTCAGGGGTTCTGGTGGGGGGGGGCTCTATTGATTATAAAGTGAAAATACATGAATTCTTTGAAATTCTTCTTCTGTGCTCCTGGGTATTAAATAAACTAACTAAGTGCATAGTTATGATGAACAAGAGTGTCACTACCAAAATTATGAATTTTATGGCCCCAGGGTCAGGGGTTATGGTGTTAGGGCAGGGTTATATTGATTATATATTGAAAATACATGAAGTCTTTGAAAAAAATTATTTTCTGCTCCCAGGAATGAAATAAACTAATTACATAGTTATGATGAGCAAGAATACCTCTTCCAAAATTGTGAAGTTCATGGCCCTAGGGTCAGGGGTTCTAGTGATAGGGCGGGGCTCTATTGATTATATAGTGAAAATACATTAAATCTTTGAAAGTTTTCTTCTCTGCTCCTTGGTATTAAGCAGATGAACTACCTACTAGTATATAGTTATGATGAGCAAGGGTCCTAATCTTCCAGAATTGTGAATTTCAAGGCCCCTGGGTCAGGGGTTCCATAAAGGAGGGGGGCTGTACTTATATACTGAAACTGGATGAATTGTTTGAAATCTGCTCCTTGGTATTAATCAAATATTTTTGAAAAGCAAGGGTGCCTTTTCAAAAATTGTGCAATGTGTGGATCTAGGCCTAAGGGTCAGGGATTCATGTGTGATTGGGGCATTACTAATCATGCTGAATATTACTGATTACTTGAAATGCATTTTTTGTTCCCCTACCCTGCCAATGGGTATTAAGTAAACAAAGTAAGCAACTGTTAGGTGTATTGTTATGATGATCAATGGTGCCTCTTTCAAAATTGTGAATGCCATAGCATCTGGATTAAAACATGAATCAAATTCAATCACTAGAAAGTTGTTGTATAATGCTCAGGTGACCTATAAGGCCCATGGGCCTCTTGTTAAAAAAGACTTTAACGACGTGAATTTTTTTTTCAAAACAACGTTTTAGCTAGAGCTTAAGAGATTTTGTTTTTCAAAGAAATTTTGTTGACATGCAATGTACATGTAAATAAGACTTGGTACGCAGACTTTGTACAGTGTATAACTGTATTGTAGGAGGTGCTGGGACGCTTGTTAGGGATGTTGTTCCAGTGGTTTGATGCTACAGCCTATTTACCTGATGGTGAGATTTCACACTCTGTTTCCTTATACAGATTACTTTTATCATAGACATAATATATAGTTAAAAGAAGTAAACAACTAAACCATATTTTTTCAGACAATGTTGGAAATGCCTTGGAGAGACTAAAGGATGAAGTATGTACAAATTTTTATTGAAGAGAAAAAAATTAAAATAAAAAATCAGAACATGAAAGAGGATAAAAGTGTCTTAAAATTGATTTCCATGAAAAGTTTACATAACAATATTTCACAGGATTATGATCTGTGCTCATAAACAGAATTCAGTATTTTAATTGTTTTGTTTGCAGACATTGTCAATATTTTGATACATCAGTAAATTATATATACTAGTTCATGTATTTACATAATGCATTTATAAGCAACCAAAGGTATTCTTTGGAATCATTGATGTTAGAACTTGTGTTCAAACCATTTGTATAGTATTTATACAATAAAATATGTTCAAACCAATCATTGATGTATCACTCATATAATCTCTAACACTTCTCTGCTGTGTTACAGTATGTCTGTGATTGGCTGGATGAAGTGGCCAAGACTCACTTTGAGGTCATTGTGTCCTGTTTACTGCCACACCCAGTCGAGTATGCTAGGGTCGGGGGATTCTGGTGGGTGGTTTTCATTTCATTTTTCACATTTTAATTAATCCTTTAAATTTTTAATTGCAAGTAAGGTAAAAATGTTATAATATTTGTAGATGTAGGATATAATCTTTAAAATTTACAAATATTACATAGTTTGATGCTGGAATAATTTGCTTTTGTCAAATTTTTTAGGGACACATTGTGTTCCAGAACAGTGCAGATCAAAGAAGGCCTCAATTGTTTCTTTTGTTTGGTGCCCTACGATGTCATTACTTTTGAGGTATATACCGTAAATGTATTATGAAATTTATTGGCACAAAAAACTTCTTCAATAATCTATTAAACATACAGCTAAAAGAGAAAATGGAGATATGCAAGTGCATTGATTTATTCAATTAATAACAGTTCATCAAATAAAATTGATCCCTTGTAGATATGGGACTATGTGATGCCATACTGGTTAGAGGCAATCCGAACTGAAGTACCATCAGAAGATTTGCATCACCTCAAAGTTTTGTTGAAGTAAGAGTTCAGAAATATAATTATCTATATCTTTTTAAGTGAGAATGAGCACTTAATGCTGCCATTTACAAGTGACATATACCTTTAATCATAGTGTCTAGATACATACATAGTACACTTTATTACTGTTTATTGTAGTAAGTCCTTTGACATGGACTTGTGCCCTTTGCCCTTTGGAACAGACTCTGACAAGATGTACCATTTTATATCTGAGAGGTTTGATGACAGCAGTGCTTATGTACAGGAACAAGCTTTACAATGGCTACAGGTTTGTCATGATAGAAAATATGGCAAGTGCTGTTTGAACATGATGAATACAGAATACCAGAAACAAAAGATAATACAATTAAAATTTGTATTGATTTGTATGAAAGTGATTTTGCTCCTATATTTTTAAACAGATTTGTAAAAAAAAATTGCTTCTGACAGAAAACTTTGGAAAGTTTTTTTTTCAGGGGAGGGGGGGGGGGGATAATTTTTTAAAAATGAATTTGAATATCCATTTCAGATCCTTTCCACACTGGACATCTACTTGCCAATCCACATGCTGCTGAGTATGTTCATATCTGGAGTACAGAACATGACAGAGCTCCTAAAACAACAAAGTACAGCTGAACCTGAATCCCCCACTAAGGAATCTAAGCCTTCCCAGCCCCGATCCTTCCCCCAGAATTCTCCAGAGGAAGAGTGTCCTCCACCCCTCAGTCCAGCTAAATCTCATGTGGTGGTGGAAGCCTTTGAAATTTACGACCGGGAGACTGAACTTGTGCTGCCTTGTTACATTATGATGCTGGATTTGATTTTGAAACAGGTGTGGAAAAAATTAGCACTCTTGAAAAAATATTGGTCTGGCCAATATTTTAAGTTGAATGAATTTGGAGGTGATATTGAAATATATTTATGCATTTTGAGTGTGTGAGCTCTTGTGTAATGGAAGTGAAAATTTAAATTAGGAGCAATATGTTCTCTTGTAAGGGAATACTCCACTTTCCATTGCCTTTGTTTGTTATTTTTGTTGTTAAACTTATTTAATGCTTTCCAGCTGGAGCTACAAAACTTCCCTAAGTACCTTGGACTGTACAATGAGACTAGCCGTCAGATTATGCAGTTACTGACCCTAATGCTTGGTACCCGCTGGGATGGCACCCACATCTGTAGTGATGAACAGCAGGCTAACAGTTGTATGTTCTGTCAGAACACAGCTCTGTGGCACCAGGTCACTTCTCAGGTGATGCAGAACTTCTGTCCTCTGAGCCAAGTGAAGATTCCAACCAAGGAGATTCCACGAGTGGACGAGTCCAAACGATTATCCACTACTCCAACATGCATGTCAAGGAAAAGTAAGTAGTGCATAAAATTTGAACTGACATTTTTAGGCCCTCATTTAAATTTTTTTTTAATTGCTTTCAGACAAAGCATTCTTTGAACTGTACAATGCACATGGGAGAAGTAATTAATTCTTGCTGATAAATTTTCTTTGGTGAAACTTTAATGGAAACAGATATACAATATGGTATGAACAAGTTATGTGTGTGTAGATCATCTCATAAGAAAACTTTTTTTAAGGTTCGGTGACTTCCAATGATGATGTTGAGAGTACAGCGGGGGAGAAGGAAGAGGAATGTCCAGGATTTGATATGACTTCTATGCCTCTACACTTGCAGCTCCACCATGCCTTCCTACAGGTAGATAACATTCCAGGATTTAACACTTCTGAAAGGTCAAAGTGAGCTACTGTACATACCAACTACTATATACCACATTTTTCATGCATCAATCTCCCTTAATTAAACCTTGTCCTTGACAAGTAATGATAAAGATTAAGGTTCCGTGTTTAAAAAACCTTTTCAAGTTGAACTTTTTTGTAACCTTAAATATCCTTGAGTTTTGTTTATATGCATCATCTGAAACCCAAAACTAATCTTCCATCAATACCTGGCCATGGGTTTCTGACAATGATTTACTTGTGAATCTAGCAGATATACTTGCACACATGTTACCAAAGGTTAAGAACAAGACTGCATTTTGCAGAGGATTACTACACCAAACATCAGTGTAAATACATCAAGAATTATAAAACACGAAAAGTCAGAAACTCTTATTAGTCTAGAGTAGAATTGCAGTAGGCTCAACATAAGCACTCTGTGAAACATATGATATTCACATTTATGATAGCTAAATAAAGACTAATTCCCTCTTATTCAAACTGGAAGAGGAGAGTGAGCTATATTTAAATAATCATTTAGGCAGTAGTTTATAAAAAACTGTATTGTATTTTATTTTTTCATCATTTCCATTATTACACTTGTTTGCAGGAACTTGAAAATACAAAAGATACTGATGCTGGGTTTGCTTTGTTGACATCTATGAAATACTTGATTCTAAATGGAGAGTGCTTGAATTACACTGTGACACAGTTCCCAGAATATGTCAAATTCTCACTCAGCAAGTACTTAATTCCTAAGTAAGTCCTATCTGTACTCAAACTTATATGTTCATGTGCCAGTAGCTCTCAATTGAACAAATGTATTTAATTGTTATTTCATTTAAATTTTTCCTTGGTTTGAAGTTTTTATCCTCACAACAAAATAGA